AGGGGCGGGGCCGCGCCCGCGGACTACAGCTCCCGGCGTACACCGGGTGGCCCGGACGTCCGGAATCGCTTCCTCCAGCGGATTATAACTCTCGGAGTGCTCTGGCCGGCCGGGACAGCCGGGGCCTCACATTCTTGCGGACTACAGGTCCAGGCGTGCATCGGGGCGACCTAGCTGGTCGGGGCGCGGCGACCCAGGAGCGCTGCATTCTGGTTCTTGTAGTTCCTCGGAAAGACCGGCCGTCTGGCTTTCAGCCGCGGTACACTGGGGAAGTTTTCGGTGTCTGAGCCGCGTCTTCTCTTTTTCCTCTTGGCGGCGGCAGTCCAGGGGGGTGAACCCGGAACTAAGCCCGGCACTGATGCTTAGCAAGCGGCTTCCGGGACGTTCAAGAGACGGGCCTAGCTGAGGTCCGGATGCCCCCACTAGGGGGCTCCCAGGCTGTGTGTCTGAGCACCTTGTCGGCCGGCCTCTTCTTCCAAAACGGCGGCTGCCCTCCGATAGACTGCATCTGGGCGCGCGCAGCTCCGAAGGCCTCTTCAAGACTCCAAGGCGGCGCTCCCCGGTCCCCGCCCTGCTCTGAGTTGGGGTTCCGGCTTACCACCGTGGGACGGGAGCACGGGGTCCTGCGCCGGAGGACAGGGATAGCGTCGCCTCCGCGAGGAGGGGCGCCCACACGGGAGTGCTGGCGCGCCGGCACAGAGCTTCATATACCCAGACGAGGTTCGGGGCTGAGACGGGTCCCCTGGCGAGGAGAGGCAACACACTCGTTCAGCTCAGACTCGCGCGGGCCCAGACTCAACGAAAGCGTCTGGGTTACTGCCCTGGCGTGTGCCCTGGCTGCGCTCTTCCGCCGAATCCTGGGATGGGAAAGCGAGGCCCAGAGACTTGAGGATAAGGTTAGGCTTCCAGGATTCTCCGCTGGCTACTTTAACACCAGCTCCCAGGAGCCTCTCCCAGCCCAGGCCTGCAGCCAGCCCTGCGCAGACCAGCATAAGGAGACCCGATAGTCCATGATCTCTGAGCCCTTACATGGAGTCCACTTGGGGCTGTCCAAGGAGGTGAGGCAGGGAAAGCTGTGGGAGGGAAGGGGGAATGGGGCTTCTGGGACCCAGTGAGGCGCTCTGGTAGTGCAATGGTTGAAGCATTCATCTGCTAACCAAAAAGTCGGCTGTTTGAACCCACCAGCCACTCAGCGAAAAAGATGAGGCAGCTTGCTTCCATAAAAATTTATGGCCTTGGAAACCCTATGAGGGCAGTTCCATTCTGTCCTATAGGATCCCTATGAGTCAGAATCGACTCAATGGTAATGTTTTTTTTTTGTTGTTGGGGGTGTGTGTGGGGGGTCTAGTGGAGTGCCCTCCTTACCTGGTAGAAGTCCTCACACTCACTGCCAGGCTTCATCACACAGGCCCACCCCCCCCAACCCAGTGGCACCTTCCCTGGGCCTGGTCGCACTGGTTCCCACCTGGCAGCCGTCACTCCTTTGAGGCCCACTGCCTGGAAGGCCTTTCCCATCTTTGCCCTGTTTGCTTCTGTGTCTGTCTCGTTAACTGATGTAGCCCCAGGACCAGCCCAATGCAGTGCACTTGTAGTGTTGGGATGGACCTGTGGAACCCCTGATCCACTCCACACACACACACACATACACACATTTCAGAGGCCAGTTGCATGGCACCACTCCCTGGAGGGTCCCTAGCCTAGAGCCCCAATAGCTCAGACTTGCCCAACCAAGACCTGGATCTAGCACAGCCAGGAACATGAACTAACTTGAGCCTCTCTGAATGAG